CCCCAAAACCCCAAAACCCCAAAACCCCAAAACCCCTCCATTATATAAAATATTGCAAATATTAATCTACCCTAAGATCTCAATAGAAAGGTCTTAGACGGGGTATCTTTGGAGGCTTTTCAGTCAAAATAAAACTGACTGTTGAACCTTAGCCACTGATGGGGGAAATCAGGAGGTTTAAACGATTTTAGTGCATTTATTTGTTAGAAAAAGTATGAATTTAGTCTTTCTTGTCAGTTTGGAGTTTAAAGAAGTCAATAGAGGGCTTTCTGGTATTGTCTTGTTGGTAGCTGTTTATGCTGCGGTTTTCTAAAAGTTCTTCAACTTCGTTGTCACAGCCGTAGCCGATACTTTTGATACCTACTATTGAAGACAATCTTCGGTCTCGTTTGTGCCGCTGGTCGAGGATAGGAGGTTCCATTCCGCTAGGGAATATTCTACTATAGGGCGCTTGCTGGTCATCCGCATTTTGTCCAGAGTTGTACATCGATGAGTCATATTTGTTTGTATTCTCTGTTCTGGTATTTAGCTGGGATCGGAGCCCTACAGGAAATTTTAACTACGAAATTAGGAAATAGTGGATATTTTTCATAGAGTCTAGTATTAATATTTTGTAGTTGGAAGACATTGACAACTTAGGCAATATTTACCTGCACTTGTCGTTCAGTCTGATGGACTGGTCATCGTTGGCTGGACAGGGTTCGGCTCCTTGATCATTCTATATCCCATACTTGCCTTTTTCATAGTAGGGAAAGTCGCCCTTGGAGCTAGAATTTCCTTGTGGTTGATCTTTAATACTTTCACAGGCTTTTGAACCGGCTCCTCTCTAGGCTGGGCTATACTAGAAGCAGACTTTGAATTCTTAACATCTGTTTCTTTCTTAGGGATTATTGGGGAAAGCATTGGAGTTGGACGAGCAACTCTCCTAGGCTTCAATTCTATAGGATTTTTATACTGTGGAGGTGAGTCATCTGGCAAAGTAGTTCTATTTTTCTCCTCTTCTTTATTATTAGAGGAGTCATTAGGAATTTTCTTTAATTCTGTCACCTCGCCTTCTAGGCATTTTCTCTTCAGTTCCTGCTTATCTTCTTTTTCAGGGGTCTCTTCATTTGTTGATTCTGGTTTCTTTTTGTTATGACCATTTCGTTTACTCTTGGTCGGCTTTCCCACTTGGAGTTTTTCAACTTCTTTCTCAAATTCCTTTAGCTCTTTATTTATATCTAATCTTATCTTGGTCTGCAAGGGCTTGGTATTGCTTTTTGTCCTCGGGCTTTATGCTTTGCCATTCTTTTCCAACCTCTTTCATGATTTGAAGTACAGGCATATCAGGATTTGCTTGAGAAATTTTACTCCTTCGATTTTTAACAAATATCATATACGCTGAAAGTCACTTTTTGGGCCTTTTATGCTCTACCTCTTGTAGCTGATTGAGGGTTCTACCGTTGACAATTAATGAGTTCATTTCCCGATCATATCTCTCTTTGTCTTTTTTGCTTCATTCCTCATATGTTTTCCTTTCCGCCTTAGAGAGGTTACTCCATATTTTTCCGAGTTTATTTCATCATATCTGGAGATTTAGAGTTGAAATCAGGGTCGTCTTGCAATTCGCGTCTCTTTTGTTTAACAAAGATGGCATACGCAGTTAGTGCCTTTTTAGGAACAGCAAGAGTTATGCCTTTACCTTGGAGTTTTTTATTTTCTCCTTTTTAGAAGAGATTGGTCATACTCCTCATTATCTCCCACTTTTTCAACCTTGATATATTTCTTAGCTTTCTTCTGTCTCTTAGTGTCAATACTATTCAGAGAGTTTGTAGGGATAGAGTCGTACTCTCCTTGACTCTGCTGTTCAGAATTGTGAGCTGTGAACTCCATTATAAGTTAATTATTACTTAATTATTTATTATTCCTTTCAATTGTATTCCATCAACGGGGTTTTGGGGTTTTGGGGTTTTGGGGTTTTGGGG